GGATGAAGAAGAACAAATTCAATGTTTTAGAATTGACGAAATCAAAGTCCAGACCTAATCCCCATAGAAATATCGTAGCGAGACCTGAAAGTAGCAATTTCAAAGTTACTGAAATGAGGTAGCTTATCATGGAGGACTGGATCAAAATTTCTACAGACAATTTGTGACTGATCATCAATTACAGGAAGTTATTGCAGCTGAAGGTGATGCAACCAGTTACTGAATTTAAGGAAGTGATACTTTTTCAGACTGGCACATCGCATGTTGGATAACTTTGTTTATGAAACAAGTGACATAAGCACCAAATGTGGGTGTTACAATACTTATTCATTCCTTTTATATATCAACAGACATCAAGCTCTGGTATCATTCAATGGCAAAGATACACAAAATTCTAAAAAAATCTACAAGGGAGTATGATATATTTTCCCAGAAGCCTGCATGTGTGTATATGTGTGTGTATATATGTGTGTGTGTGTGTGTACGCATGCATGTATATACACATTCATTTGGGAGTAGAGGGTTGTTTCTAGTTTTATGCAAAAATGTTGTTCCCCTCATTCTTTTGTAACATAAATTATCAATTCCCCTTCTCTACAATTCCCTAAAATTGGAAATTAGGTTTTGGGAGAGGATGAGACTTGAATTAGAATAGCACAAGAATAGTGGGACTGGGGTTTAGGATTCCAGAGAGGTAGAATGCAGCAAGTAATAAAGAGGAAAGAGATGGAAAGTGTGAATTTGTAGGTAATTAATGTCATACAAGAAAAAAGGTCTTCCTGCCTTTCTTCAAAAGATATCCCATAAATCTAACAAGCTTAACCTTTTATGATTTGACCTGAAGAGTACTGTCACACCACGACTTGCTGGAGTTGAAGGGCATCTCCAAAGCATTGCAGATTCAAGACAAACCTATTCTAGCTGATCCCACTGATATTTATCTTGCACTCTGAGGGGAAAGATGGGAGGGGAACAAAGGAGTCTTCCAAACCTGGAAAGAAAATTGTGCTTGTTGTTCTCATTCTCATTTATCTGTGGAGAGTGTTCCAATCGTTCAAACTGCTTCTTTGATGCTGCTCTGGTCTTCCTCCCCTCTCACCTCCACCTCACAAAAAAACAGGAACTGGAACTGTTCCTTATATCCCTGAGGAGACAGGAGGAAGTCAAATCTGGTTCTCTGGCCATGCTCAGCAGAGCTGCTAGGGATTTTTATATTTCACTCCAAGTGCTTCTACTTTGCAGCTAGTATCATGAGAGCACTTATTGTATGGCCAGGCAGAGATGTGGGATTTTTCCTTTGTGTGAAAAAAAAAAAAAGTGGAATATATAAGCTTTCATGCGAATCAAGGTAGTAGTATGGCTTGCTTAGGATATTGGACAGATTTCTGGATATGATAAATAGAAGGCTCACCAAAAATGTTAAAAGCTAATACATTTGAAAGAAAATTGGAGCCTATGCAGAAGGAAACTAAACAGTTTAGGAAAATAATGGTTGAATCACATGAGAAAAGAATCCAAGCTGTCAAAACAAAAGATGTAGCAATTATAAAGGGGTTTTCAGCATGTTGAGGGAATCAGCACAGATTCAATGTCAGATGTGCAAGAAAAAGCTAGAGTTTTAAACCTTCCATGCATAGATCAGCAGCCTTTAGTGGCTGTTGCACAGCAATGTTTTGGGGAGCTGCCTAATCTGAAAGAAGCTTTAGTAGAAATGTATGCAGTATATAGACATCCATCAAGAGGTTAATTTTATCATACACCAAACTCAGTTGGAGTGGAGTTTCTTTGATGATTACAATGAAATACCATTGTGCAAATCTCCATGCAAGCAATTTCTTTGGAATATGCTGGGGGGAAATGGCAATTTTCTCTTATCTGCCTTCCAGTTAAGGGATCTTTCAAAATAAATATGGATATTTTACAAGAATTTTGGAGTAGAGAATTGCAGTTTCCAATTTTAATAAGTCAGTGGTTTCAGGTTTTAAAAACATTCAATATGTTTCTTATGTCCTTAAGATGACATCAGAGATCTGATGCCTTGGTCAAAATGATAAAAGCAGTGTTGCACAATTGCACTACAAACTCTGCCCCTTTCATACAAGTATGCAGTGTCAAGACACATGAAGAAAAGATGGAGAACTTGTAGAATGACAGCACAGTGCTGCTTTAGTCATCCCTCCCCCCCTTGATTCCCCTTTTTGGATACCTCTGGATAAGACTAATTTATCAATAATTATTTTGATGAATAACTGGACTCTCAGTGGATGTATAAAAAGGGCTGGTACCTTTGTATATAAGAGATACGATATATGTGAAAGTACACTAAGACATGTGATTTAGAAATGACCTCTGGTGGTTCTTTATTTATAATCTTCTGAATATGGTGAACCAGATTCCAGGAAAAAAATTAAGTTTTTAAAATATTAATATGTTAAACTATATTCCAGAAATATGGAATGTATCTATTCTTGAAAAACTTTGGATCTATGATGCATGTTGTATTGCAAAAAAGATTAAGTACGCTTAAAAAGAAACTTGTATATCAAACACCAAAATGTACATTCTCAGCCAATATTGTCCAACTGGTTCTTCATCAATACAACAGAATGACTGGACAATATGATTTTATGTGGTCAAGGTTTAATTTCCCGTTTAAAAATTGAGTTATATTATGCTTTTTATATTTATAATTGCTATAATCTTTTATTTAGTTTTCTTTTCTTTTGTATTTATGTGTCCTGTTTTCTTCCTTTTTGGTTGCAATTGTATTAAAGCAATACAATTTATAAAAATATATCAGGCAGTAGTTAAACAAAAGTTTTACATTAAGAAATACCATAATTTTTGCTCCTGCAAAATCAGAGAGACAGATGGGAAGGTGAGCATCTCTGTAATTCATATTCCTAGCATTTTACAAGGATTATTGAGACTCAGTTGCACAAGCATAGGCTCCTTTGCAGAGATCTATATGAACAGGGGACACATCCATTAAAACTCATTTATAATACATATATCCACTGGAAAAGAATATCTGTAGCTCAGGGTTGAACTGTGGAGTCCTTGGTGTTCTCTGAGCTTGGTTGTTTTCCTGCAGATCTTTCATTACCTGGCTAGGTAACCTCTTCAGTGCTGGAAGGGAGTGGGGTTTGCTCTCTGTTTATATACAGTAGCTTGGTGGGGGTATTGTTTTCTCTTTGGTAGTTCCTTGATTAGCTGTTGTTTACTGCTTGATTGTTTGTCTGAGTTGGTAGCTCCTTGATTAGGGTATTGTTCACTGTTTGATTGTCTGGTGTTAACCCTGGTGTTAATCCCTGTTTATGTGGGTGTTGATTGCTGGCAAGCAGGTGTTCTGGTCTTTTTATTTCCTTTTTAGCTTTTTTATTGTCTCTTTTGAATGGTGTGTAAATATGGCTTATCTCTATGTGCCTGTTGATGGCTGACTTGTCTGAAGACCAAGCTTTCAGGAATTCAGTTGCATTTTTGGATTTAGCTTGTCTAGGGTGCTGACAGTTTCCCAGTTGAAACTATGGTTGAGTCTGTCCATGGGTTGTGAGATTAAGGAGTTTTCATCATGTCTTCTGACTGCTAGCTGGTGTTCATGGCTGTGCTCTGCTAGTCTTCTGCCTGTCTATCCAACATATTGGCTGTTACATTCCTTACAATATATGTTGTAGATGACTCCTGTTTTTTCTTCTTGGGCTACTGGGTCTTTTGGTTTGCTTATGATGTTTAAGTTGGTTTGTATGCTATGGTGATGCCATGTGGTTGTAATAGTCTGTTAGTTGTTTCTGAGATGTCCAGGAGGGATCAAACTTGCCAACCCTCTTTCACTCCAGGAAACCAGTGGTCAGAGAGAACAAAGCTGCACCTCCATTTAAGAGCTGGTCAGTGGAATTCTTCTGAGTTTTTCCCAGAAGTCCAGCTTTGCCAACGTGCTTTGCCCAGCCAGGCATCCAAATTATGCTACTGATTAGGGTTTTTTCTGCAAAGGATCCAAGCTTGATAACAGTTACATATGCCAACCCTCTTGGCACCCTAAGTATAGCTAGGCACAATGACACAAAAATGACAACATATGCATCACGATGTCACCATGCAAGTTCTGCTCTTTCACACTTGCATTGACATCATGTGGAATTACATAAGGGTTGATGTTTGCATTATGAAGCTGTGAGGTATCTCTGCTTTTTTCATCCCATTCAGCTACAAATGAATCTCAGAGATAGGCATTCAGTTGCTTTCTTATTATAGCCCATGGATTATTCTTTTCATTCTTTCCAACCCAATGGAACTTTAAAAATATTTTTAAAGGAATTTGGAATTCTGTCTGTTCATTAGCAGGATAGCTCTTCACAGACAGAACAGAAGGGACTAAATTTGGTGTGGTGGAACAAGCCATCAGTGAAAAGATTGAGTTCACAAATGGGCTGGATCTAGCCAGGGATTGTGGAGAAATAAAAAATCTTTTCTAAAAAAAATCCTCATTGCATCCCAAGAGAGAGGCAACTGGACAGTGGCTCAAAATGCTGCCTGTTGTTCCATTCTTAAGCCCCTATCCCCTTCCTGGTCACATGACCCAGAGTGGAGTTGTTTTTAAGGAGGTAGAAAGAAGCCCCACTCTGTATGCACTGCTTACTTTGTTTCAAACTGAATCTTGAATCTTGAAGCAACCCTAAAATCTCCAATTCCGAATTAGGGCTGATTCTGGCAAGCCCACTCCTGCATAACCATGCTTAGTTTTCTGTGACCAACAAGAACAGTGTTATATTTTTAACTATATAGGTTGCTTAGTTTGATGACAAACTATTGTTGCAGAATACAATTCATTTACCTGAATAATATGTGCTAAACATTATTTGCTTTTTAAAAGCACTATACCAAGCAAAGGAGTCATTTGAGCTTTCTTAAAATTATCTAAACTTCAAATTATCTAATGGGGAGGGTCGAATGGGACTCGAGTAGCAAAGATGACAGATGTTCTATTGCTTCTCTTTTCCCAGGACTATAATGATGAAATCCGTCAAGAGCAATTGAGAGAATTGTCATATTTAAATGGTTCAGAGGACTCACCTCGTGGGCGAAGTATTCGAGGAAGAGGAATTCGGGTTCCTCCTGCAGCTCCTTCAAGGTCAGTTGCTTTGTTCTTCTTTATAGGCAGTATAAATAGTTTATAATAGCTATAACCTCAGCTACAAATGGTTTGGTTAATAAACAGATATATGCCACAGTTCAGAGATACAGCTGAGAAGAATAAAAGAGTTTTGTTTATGCATTTGGTTCTAACAAAACTTTCCACTTAGTTATAATTACATTTACACAGGGGAACTGAAAATATGTCTTGTAAAGCAAGGAGACTAAAGAAAGTTTATGGTTTTGTTTCAGACCAATGAACATTAGTCCTAGCTTAAATCCCAGTGTTTTCATATTTAAATTACATAGCCACATCCACTGGATCCATATAATCTCTACCCTCATCTTCACCAACTTAATGCCCTTCAGTTGTCTAGGGATTACAGTAACTCATAATCCTCCAGTTCGCCTAGCCATTGCTGGCTGGAGGTGATAGGAGTCACCTTCTAATATTTCTGAAGGACACCTATCTATATAGTAGGACCTTGCTTCTATTTGAAAACCTGAAAGGACAATTTTGTTAAATGTTCATATTTCTGGCATCCCTTGTGCTTCTGTGTAAAATAGGTTCTGGGATAACTTATGGATGATGACTTATTCAAAAGAATAACAAAAAATGTCTAGACCCAATACAATTACCATTTTAAAATCTAGTACAAGATTAAGTTTATTCTTCATTTATGTTCGGCAGTCTCTCTATATACCACAGAAGAATTTAATTGATTGTAGATGGATTTTAACTTGCTACATGCAGAGGCTTCCAAATATAAACCTCACAGGGTTCACAAAGCTAAAGTCTAAGCTAAGCCTTTGCTTTTATCTGACATCCCATATGGATTTATTCCTCTTCTTTCATCAACATTTCAAGATGCTGTTTGAAAATAATCTTGCTTTTACTTTCACTATAGTAATTTCCCTTTCCCATCAGCATACAGATATCATAATTACATTTGCACACCCAACTTCTTTTGTGGATGATTGGCGTGATATCTACCAGCCCTGGTCCCATAGGACAACTAATATTCATTCTCTGGGGTGTGCAATGTTCATCTACACAAAGAAACACTTATGCCAATAACATCTTTCCAAAACATGGATATCCAGAATGTCCACAGCCAAGGTCAGCAGTGTGATCATAATTTCATTGTACATGAACATTATTATGTCTGCATAAAACTCAATTCAGCCCTTCATTACTCCAATTATATGCAATTTAATCCTTTTAATAAAATCAGGAATCTATTTTATAAGGCGGCTTAATTAATCTTACTACTTGTAGAGTAGCTACATTTCATCACCTGCTTTCCTGTTCCAAATGTTCTAAAGCTAACCATATTCCCTTTCTTAACCATCTGTTCTGTCTCTGTAATAAATGCTACACTTATAGCATGAAATCATATTCTTTGCAAGTCCTTGTTAACAAGTCAGATCTTTGGAACCTAATCTTCGAGCCTACTGTGGTTTCAGCTGAATTCCTGCAGAATAAATTCTTTCCAGGAACCAGATTTTGCTTCACATGTTATTGAAGATGGTGCCTGCCTTAGCTTTATGTGTCAGATCCTGATTATTATGGTGCATTTCTGATTTGAGATTTTTGAATAATATAGAGAAGGGCTGGGCATGCTTTGAACATTCAGAAGAAGAGGTTCAGACCTCACATTAATGCAGCAGCTTTCTGCTCTTCGTTAGAGCAGTCTGACTTTTTTCAGGCTGCCTTGCCATCCTTAAAAAAAGGTGCTGTTTTCAGGAAACCACTCAATGCAACTCTTACAGCCACAGCACCCTTTTCAGGCTCATCCAAAAGCCTAAAAAAATTGGGGGATTTAACCAATAGTAGAGATGGAGTACTCTTGCCTGAATTATTTTCAATAATTCTGAATTATTTTCAAATCATTATTCTGAATTATTTTCAAACTCAGCACAGTCCTAATACACAGCATTGTTAATTAATATAGAATGAATATTCATTAGATATGCAGAGTAAAATAAAGTGATGTCTGTGGAATATGTTGAAATAAAAATGTATTTATTTCATATAAATCTCAGCTACATAAAATTTATCTCTTATTTATATAATTTATACTTTAAATTTATAAGGTCATCAAACTCACAATGATCCTGGGTGGCATACATTTTAAAAACAAAACCCAATACATTACATCAATTTTAAAAGAAGATGCCCATAGCCAGGGGAACAGACATACCATAACATATTAGAAATAATCCAGTTCAAGGGGACATGTACTCCAGCCTAAGGCAGAACCTGGGGGAAAAGCCAGGTCTTCAAGACTTGTTTAAGGGACAGTAGGGTTGATTTAGTCCAACTATTCCAAAAGGAACAGTGACATATTCTGGACCAACTGTAGCTTCAGAGTAGTCTGTGTAGAACTTGTTGCAATAAACCACACTCAAGATGACTGAGGCATGACTGTGAGAAGAAACTCTTAGTCCAAGACACAGTTCATTTGGCATACCAGAAAAATTATAGACAGAAGGTGATAATATCGAGCCTGTGGCACCCCACAAATCAGGGGCTTCAGGCTTGGCTTCTCCCCTGAGTGGGCCACAGAGATAGGAGGTGAAGCACCACAACACTGTGCCTCCCACTCCCAATTTTCAGAGTCAGTCTAGAAGGATATTGTGGTTAAAGATATCCAAGCCACTGACATATCAGGAAGAACCAGGAGAGTCAGCAAAGGTCAAATAGCAGGATCAATGCCATCTCCATACTGTGTTCCATCTTGAAACTTGACTGCAAAGAGTTAGATAATCCATTTCCTCCAGAGCCTTCTGAAGATCCAACCTGATGGTCAGAGCAAAGGTTCCAGTAATGGCTTCTTGAGGTCCAGTAATGGCTTCTTGAGAAGCAGAGTATAGCACTGCCTCGTTCAAGAAGGTAAAAACACCCCCTCACTCAAAGACGAATTCATTTTCCATGGACTCAATCACATGTCACTTCAAACCAGAAGTGACATGGATGTTAAAGTGTAGAGCTCCACAGAAATGACCTTGTGGAATATATATACAGTATGACCTTGCGAAAACACTCTCTCTCTCTCTCCCTCTCTCTCTCTCTCTCTCTCTCTCTCTCTCTCTCTCTCTC